TTGGTAGGATTATGGTGTGATACCCCAATCACCACAACAAATTTCAGGAGGGGAAGAATTTTAGGCGGGAGGCGTGTAAATTTAGAGAACAATTATTCGAAAACAGCAGATTGTTCCTGGAAATCCCTTAATGGGGTTATGGAGCGATACACCCTCAATCACTCCATCGAAGTTAGAGTGGGACCGGAGGTCCGGTTTAATAGCCACACACCTTTTTATAATTTTTACTCATTTTATACTGTTTGGGGTGTAAATGTAAGAGTAACGATTTCTCAAAAACGGCAGATTGTTCCTAAATCCTCTTGGTAAGATTATGATTTTCACTCATTTTATACTGTTTGGGGTGTAAATGTAAGAGTAACGATTTCTCAGAAACGGCAGATTGTTCCTGAAAATCTCTTGGTAAGATTAGGCCTATGATGTGATGCCCTCTCAATCACCCCAACAAAGTTAGAGTGGGACCGGAGGTCCGGTTTAATAGCCTCACCTTTTTATACTTTTCACTAAATTTCAAACTGTTGGGGTAAAATATAGGTAAAGATTTATCGAGTACGGCAGATTGTTCTTAAAAAACCCATTGGTAGGATTATGGTGTGATACTCCCTGATTCATCCCATCGAAGTTAAAGTGGGACCAGGGTCCCGTTTAATAGCCCCATTTAAACAAAAAAAATTCCACTAAATTTCAGGTGGGAGGAATTTTTAGACGTGAATGGTGTAAATTTAGAGAACTTGAATTACTCTAAAACGGCAGATTGTTCCTGGAAATCCTTTGGTGAGGTTATGGTGTGATACCCCTTCAATCACCCCAAAACCGTTAGAGTGGGACCGTAGGTTCGGTTTAATAGCCCCATCATTTATAAGTCACTCATTTTCATACTGTTAGGGTGTAAATGTAGGTAACGATTTCTCGAAAACGGCAGATTGTTCCTGGAAATCCCTTGGTAGGATTATGGAGTGATACCCCCTCATTTACCCCATCGAGGTTAGAGTGGGACCCGAGGTCCCGTTTAATAGCTCCACCTTTTTATAATTTTCACTCATTTTCATATATACTGTGCGGGATCGATGTTGGTAACAATTGCTCGAAAACGGCAAATTATTCCTAAAAATCCCTTGGTGGGATTATGGCGTAATACCCCCTCATTCAACCCATCGAGGTTAGAGTGGGACCGGAGGTCCCGTTTAATATCCCCCCCACCCACTTTAATTCTCCTCATTTTCGTACTGGTATGCGGGAGGGGTGTAAATGTAGGTAACGATTGCTCGAAAACGACAGATTGTTCCTGGAAATCCGTTGGTGGGGTCATGATGTGATACCCCCTCATTCACCGCATCAAAGTTAGAGTGGGACCGGAGGTCCCGTTTAATAGCCCCCACCACTTTAATATTCCTCATTTTCGTACTGGTATGCGGGAGGGGTATAAATGTAGATAACGATTGCTCGAAAACGGCACATTGTTCCTGGAACTCCCTTGGTGGGGTTATGATGTGATGCCCGCTCATTCACCGCATCGAAGTTAGAGTGGGACCGGAGGTCCCGTTTAATATCCCCCACCACTTTAATTTTCCTCATTTTCGTACAGGTATGCGGGAGGGGTGTAAATGTAGGTAACGATTGCTCGAAAACGGCAAATTGTTTCTGGAAATCCCTTGGTGGGGTTATGATGTGATACCCCCTCACTCACTGCATCAAAGTTAGAGTGGGACTGGA